ATCATCGCATAGAAAATGTCGCATAACTTGGACGCAGAACATTCTAACTTTGCGATGGTTTGCAGTGGCTTCCGCTAAGTTCTCACCTTGATTTCTCGATCTCATTTTCAAGGCACTGATCTAAACTATTTTTCTCACCACTGTCCATACCTATATCCCCGTACCAAAAGGGCTCGTGTTTTCGGAATACGTGAATTAAACAGGAGACTAGGGCAAGTGGTAGAGTACTCAACATGTTGGCCAATATTGACTCTTCGTGGACTTATATGCTATTTTCTGAAATCATAAATATTGCTCTCTGAAATGTTCGTCGGAATTGTAGAAAGGCAAGAGTGACGCCTGAGGAAAACTGAGCGATCAATCAGAGGAAATGGGTCAGATGCTTCGCTCGTAAAACAAAATTTCGTGACACATTCACTGCACTTTGAGATGATGTCTTGAAAGATAGAAAAGGAACGAAGATTGTTTTTTTTTGTTTTCGATTTTGAGTGACTGGGTACGAATGATCTAGTCATTCTGATGAGGCGTATGGCTGAGACAAGAAATAAGAGGTATATTATATACTTTTTCACTCGATCCTAATTTACTCCATGCTTCTGTATGTTTTGATCAGCTTGTGTCTGTTACAAGGAATGGTTTTCTGTTGAGATTATTGAAGTTCTTCTGGAGATCTAAGCAGATCAGATGAGCAAATAAAGCACAGATTTCTTGCTAGACTAAAAGTTTTCTTTCTGAGTTCGTTTTTTGTAATCAAAGCAATCCGGTTCAAATAGTATCGTACTTTCTGCCAATGAAATTGTCACCAAATTACAGAGACGTAAACCTCTTGCTTTCCAAAGACACAAGACCCTTTTTCTGTAGATTAGTGGACCTATCATTGATATTAACATTTCCAGGGTTGTTCAGTTGTTGTAAATACCAGTGTACTTTAGTACATAATGAGGGCCTGCCTGCTAGTATTACCATGATATAATCTAAAGTTGCATCTTCAGTAGTGTATACACTGTGATGATCACTCTCATCTTCATTAATATTAATCTGCATATCAAATATAAGATAACACTATATTTACACTTGTTCAAGACTTTATAGTATAACAGTTGAGATTTTTTGACTTGTATTTGTAGATAGGGCCAGAGTTCTAAGTTTATCAAATGAATGTTGAATAAATCATGACAGCAGATTTATACTTTGTATTGTAGTCAATTAAGCCCCAGCCTATGTTTAGACATACCAGACCAAGGAGAGAGAGCTTTACACTGATTTTTAAAACAGAAAAAAATTGGCCAAAGGGAAGAGATGGGAGAGGAAGGGGGGGCATGCCTTTTCAACATCAAACAAAAGTAGAAATAAGTTATCTGACAAAGCTACCTCAAGTCCTCTGTAGAAGCTCTTCTTGGCAGTACCTTCTCTTCAGCAGGGATAGGACCCTCTTTTAAGTAAACCTTTCCCAATTGCAGATTGAAATTCATGATTATTCCAACCCTATCATTCAAACTGGACCAAATTCCACACCCTGTCTCCACGCAACAATTCCTGGAAAAAGTGCCTGAATATTCAAAATTTTGGCCAAAAGTTTCATGATTGCACACATTAAGTAAAGAGAATTTGGAATTGGAGAAACTAATAATCCCCTAATCAATAGTTTTCTTTATTCTCATCACTTATCTGCTTGA